CTGAGTTCACAAGGTTGTTTTGACGACTACATCCTACAAAGGACTCAAGTGGAGCCTTGAAGCTGCTCCAGGTGGATACATCCACCACCTGGCACCTCGTTGCCAGTTCTGACTTACTTAGACTATTCTCAGAATGGCTCTCAGAGGAGGGTGGAGATGAAGAGGATACATTCAGATGCCCCCCTTTCTCTCAGTTCTCAGACTCCCATATCCCACTTAATTGATAGAAGTCATCCAGGGCCAGGGACAGAGCTTTTCAGGATTTGACTCTCATGAAAAGGATGGGCTTAGGGCAAATGGAATGTAACTACCATATTACTGAATGGTGCCCAGTTCTGCCTCTCTGAAGAGTTCCCTTGGATTTCAGGCCAGTGAGTCAGATGGCTATCCTTTTATGTGGACTGAGAGCTGGAACTTCCTTAACTACAACTCCATCAAGGACAGTTCATTGTAGTGATATGGTGTTGAGTCCCAAACACAGAATCCCAGCTCTGAAACTCGTTGATTAGATTAATGCCTGGCACAAGTCACATCACCCTCTTGGGTACATTTCTGATCTATATAAAAGAGAAAATAAAACTAGCTCCTTCTGCATTGAGTTTTAAGAAGATCAAATGACTTATTATATGAAAAGTGATTAGCACATTGCTTGGCACCCAGTAATGGGTCAATACTTTTAACTTACATTTTTAAGAAGTAGTGAGATGAGCTTCTATTTGGTAAGGAACTCCATGCCTGCCTGAGACAGCTGATCACAATGCCAGGACTGGCTTACCCTCTGTCTCTATCCCACTGGTTTTCCTCAGATGTGGCAGCCATGTGTACATCCTGCCTTGCCTTTGGTCCCAGAGCACTTTGGTCTATACTCTATCCCCTTTGAACACTGTCAGCGCTTCCTTTATGAACAGAGGCACAGATCCCCACCAGCCAGAGCAAAGGCTCTTGAACGGATGCTGAAGTGGGAGTTAGACTTGCCATGTCCCAGGAGGTGTTCATGTCCCTGTATCTGGAGCTTAGGTGGACCAGCCAAGCATGGCTCCTCACAGTAACTTTGCTAAATAGAGTCTGGCATGTCAGTTCAATGACTCTGGGCTAAATTCATTGAATCTGTCTAAATCACTTGGCAGTGGCATTTGAGGTGGCCTCTCTGAATGTCTCAGGTGCTCTGTGACCCCCAAGTATGTCCCATTGCTAGTTCCTGATCACTGCTGAAGATGCTTCTGTTTAGAAACATCTTAGAACTTATTTGGGAAAGGTTTTCAAGTACGCATCCCAGATCTCACTTTCATCTGGGTACAGGGCTTGATTCTATCTTAGGAGCAATCCTTGGCACTACTGATTGCTTCTTCTTTGTTGAAACACCTGCTTTTATTGGTGCTAGGACACAATACTCCTGGTTCTTTTTCTTACCTGTCTGGCTAGTTCTCTTTCTCCTACACAGGCTCATCTTCCTCGACCCACTCACTAAATACCACAGACCTTCCAGTCACTAAATCTGCATGTCCTTTCCCTCTTTATTCTCCCCCTGGGTGACTTCATCAACTCCCAGCTTCAGGTACTATCCAGGTGCATATGAGTCACACAGTTTTACCTTCACTCAGACCTTTTAGAGCTCCTACTTTTATAGAGCATCTCTCAAGCTCAGATTTCCCCAAACACACACTTTTTCCCTCTAAAGCTATTCTTTTTCTATTGTTTCCCAAATCCATGAACAGCAAGCACCATCATGCACTTTGCTATGAAAGCCAGTTGTGTGATCCTCCTCCACAGTCCCTTCTCCTTTATTCCCCTATCCAATCCATCAAGAGGTTTTATTTATATCTATTTTAAGTAATTATCTCTCTTATTGCATCTTTCTGTCTGCACTGCCATTATCTGAGTCCAGCAAAATCATCCCCCCCCCCATTTGCCTACAAAATTTATCTCTCCCATCTACTTTGGCTCCATAGTGAAGCTGGAATGATGTGTTAGAAATACAAATCTGACTGCATCATTGCCCCACGAATAATACTCGGATGGCTTTTATTTTTCTTGGGTTAAGGACAAAAACTCATTACAGCCTATTGTGTCTAGTGCGGACTGGCCCATGCTGTCCTCTCCAGCTTCTCTCACCCTCATCATACTATGTTTCTTTCCTTTCTTGAATGCTCTGGGCTCCTTGCCCCATCACACAGCCTGGGCCAGTGCTGTTTTTTCCCCCTGCTGTTCCTATGTGACCCTTAACTTTCTCTTCCACTAGTTAGAGCCTGTCCTCCCTTGGAGCTCACCCCACTGGCCACTTCCTCCCAGAAGAGATTCACTTATTCATTTCCCCATTCCCTTCCCAAGTGTCATGTGCCTCTCAGTTCTGATCCTTAATAGAGTTGAAAGCTTACTATTATTGATTCTTGGTTCATTAAGCCTATCCCTTGAGCCCCATCCAACACTCACTGTAGGCTCTTTGAAGGCAGGAGCTGTGCCTGTTTTCTCACTATGTATCACCAAATGCCTGGCACATAGAGGGTGCTTGTGATTATGTATGGAATGAATGAAGTGTGGTACTCATAGACCAAGCTAATAACTGGGAAACTGGGGTCTTCTGAAGGTCTCTTTTGCCTTTGTACCCCACTCTCTAGAACAGGATCTCATAGTGGGCACTAAGTCAAGTTCAGCTATGCCTGTGAGTGGATGCCGCAGAGCCAACAATCCCTTCAAATCAAAATCCAAAGACTCTGACACTATTAAGGGAACTGCTCTGAGATGCTCAGCTTTTTTGCACTTAGTCACATCATATGTCTCTGGGACTAGACATAGCTCAGAATTATTGTCTCCATACAGGGAAAGGGGTGCTTGTATGGGGGCTACTGGGAATCAGCCCCAACTCTGGAATGTGAGTCCAGCCCTGCCAAAAAGGCAGTGAGCTGGCTCCCCCAGGAATTCTCTGGCTCTAGATAAGTAAAGCCTGTGCAGATGGTGTTGGGATTTCATCCTCTAGTTTTGTCTTTAGTTGGTGAGGGAAACTGGAAAACACACACACACACACACACACACACACACACACACACACACACACAAAACCTCCTCCACAACTTTTTCCAAAAGGAGGAACTCTGACCCCACTGATAGTGTAGTTTGGCACACAGCCCAGTTTGGCACACTCCATGGGTACTCAGTAGCAAATTAATGAATGAAGCAAATAATTGTGGCTCACTTGCCTGTGTGTCATTCAATAATCATCTGTTAACCAACAATTATAAGGAAGGAGGCCTGGACTAGACACTGGTGTTAGAGAAGTGACTAGGACTCACTCCCTGTTCTGGAAGACTTACCCTTCTCACTAGGGAGGCTTGGCTGAGAAAATCCAGCTTGTCTAAGTTATAAGAGAGTCTGGGGAAGGTGCTCTGACAAAGTAAACACCAGATGCTCTTATGCAAGAAGAGGGGATACATCCGTGTGCTGGAGGGATGTTCTTCACCATCATGGAGTCTGGGGACTCAAAATCATAGCTTACGAGCATTAATGCCCCTTCAACTCAGCTGAAGTCTATGAACACGTGGCTGGAATAGGAGAAACTCAATTTGGTTTCATGAGAACAAATGTGTGTGGACAGTGATGTCATCCCCTCAGCTAAACATTGAACAATGTAAACATGAAGAGAACACCTATTAGGAGCCAGGCCCTGGGCTAACATGAGGAAGCAAAGATAAAGGAAGCATAACCTTGCCCCTGAGGAGCTTGCAGACCACTGGAGGAGACAAATGAGAAAACAAATAACTAATAATATTGGGACATTAAGGCATGCGCAAAATGCTGTAGAGAGTTATCAGAATTGAGAGGAAAGACATGAGCTCTCCCAGGGGCACAGGCAGCCAGAGAAGATGTCGCTGATGATGGATGAGCTGGTGCTGAGGTAGCAGAATAAATAGGGACAGGTGAGGAAGAGGATGCTCTGGATTGAGGGGCCTCACACAATCCTGGCACCATTGGATAGTTGAAGAGCAGCAGGAGGGGTTTCCTCAGGGTGCCGGACCAGCAGTGCTCTCCAGACAGGTGTCTGGACGGGGAGGTTGCCTCTATTCCTTGGTATGTTGCATGAAGAGGTTGAGCTTGGGCATTCTCTGCCTGCTTGCTTTTGCTATTAGCAAAATCATTGTATGGGGCAGGAGACTTGAAAGTGGAATACAGGGTTTCTAACTCTTAAGGTCTAGATTCAGGTCAGAAACCTGTGGAATCCTGACCTTTATCAGCCATGTGACCTTCAGCAAGTTCCCTTGGTTTTCTCATCTACAAAATGGGAAAATTATTTCTGCTTGTTGGAGTGTCTGTGAGGACTAACAAAGGTGGATCTATGAAAGGGCCAGCCCCGGGGGCAGAGGACACTTCTATCTGGAACTGAGTTCGAGTCTGACAGGGCCTGCAGCATCAGTACTACATTCGAAACATGGACCTAGTCACATACAGGCATTCTTTGAATCCAATGAAATGTCCTTTTAAAACACAAAATTTCTACCGAACCATTTGCTTCGCATAAGGCACAACACCAAACTGTGTTTTTATCTTTGTAAAAGCAGTGAGTTTTGTGAGACCTTAACATAAAGCTGTTGTTTTCACTGTTTACCTGAAAGGATGAAGCAGGGTTTGGAATAATTTCATGAACCCAAGAATGGAACTGTAATTCCATGGCTTGATCCTAGAGATAAGCAGCAAGAGGGGTAAAATCCTCCAATTGAGGATAAAGATGATAAGGAGGATGATAAGGTTGTGTAACTCTAGGAGACTCAATTTCTCTGAATGTCCCTTTTTTACATCTGAAAAAAAGAGGGGGGGTAATAATAATAACCCCAACTTCATAAGGGATTCATCCTCAGAAGGATTGAATGGGAAAATATGTGTAACTCCCTTAGCACAGTGCCTGGCACACAGTTAGCTCTCAATAAATATAAGCCGTTGTCATTGCCATTATTGCCTAGCTATGTGTATGAGCTTTTTCAACATCTTTATTCTCCCCTTCCCCCTGCAAGGTGCTTCCACCCAGAATTCTAACACCGTGGAGCCAGAGAAGCAGGTGGACAACACCGTGAAGATGGCTGGAGTAATCGCTGGCCTTCTGATGTTCATCATCATTCTCTTGGGTGTGATGCTCACCATCAAAAGGAGGTGAGTCTGGGTTGCTGTCCTGCCGACTATGGCGACTGCAGGTGACCACAGCACTGTCACATGGCCAGGTCACTGCTCTGTTAATCATTTTCCAGCAAGGACCTATGGTTATGATTGCCGAGGTCCTGAAATATGTGGGCCAATTGTGGTTCATCTTGTTGGTGGCTGAGGGCATGTGCTGCCTGTGTTCTGTGTGGCCCTGAATGGTCAGTTTCTTATGGGATAATGATCCTTGTGGTTCAGCCACCTTGATGTGCCTTGAGATTCTTTATATTGTGAAAAGGGTCTTCTCTAATGTCATTGCTCTATTGTGATTGGTCATGTCATCAAAATAACGGGGAAGCACCAGGAACAAAGATGAGCCTAGAAATGCAGATGCAGGGAGACAATGCTTCACTCTTCTCATCCTCTTTTACCCCTGATTTCCCTTTGGAAGGTCTCAAGGGAAAGTTCCTTCCTTCCTCTGTGTCCCACAAAACCTTCCCAGCTGGATTGGGCTGCTTGTCACCTCTGCACACGTCTGGTCAACTAATACAGTGTTCTCCTGTGGTGTGTGTTTCCTCTAGACTGTGTTGTTCATGGAAGCCAGGGTACAGATCCCTCCCTCATTCCCAAGATTCCTACACTGCCATCTGGTTTAATGGGCACTGACAAGGGGAGGATGATGCAGTGGAATTGCAGAGAGGGCAAGGAAATGTCCACCAGGAAAGCTGATCAATGTTACTGTGACTGTGCTTGTGGTGCACTGTTTATCCCTCTAAACAGAGGGGTCTCCTTCCTCCTCTGCTTCGCTCCTGCCTGGTGCCGGTTTCCACGCAGACCATACACCTTCATATCTTCTGAGCTTCAACACCGTGGTCCCAACCTTGGCCTCCACCTTTCTACTTCCCGAATCTGCCAGAGCAAATCAAACATGTACCTACCTTATAAGAATTATGTCCTGCAAGTTTCCCTGCCCCCAATTTAAAGAGACTCTTAATTATTTTAAAAAACAACAACTGCTTAACACTTCAGCCCGAAGCTCTGGATTTGGTTACTCACAGACTTCAAGGCAAACCCAGGAATAAGGACCAGGGGCTTGCTTCCATCTGTAGAATAAAGAGTGCTCCTAAAATTCACTCCCCACAAACACAAGGTAATCATATGAATAAATGAAGGAAGTGAAACAAAAATAATAATAATAATTTCCCATTTTCAGCCATCAGTGAGTCAGAAATATCATGGTTCCCTCTATGCACACAATCAGCCTTCTCTTAGCCATTGTGGCATCAGAATGTCCCTGTGTCTCAGAAGGTTCTGTACTCAATCAGTCAGTACCTGCTCTGCCAGGACATCTTATTGTTAGGACCTGGTTCTTTTTTGACAGCGTTTGTCTAAATAAAAAGGTCACTCTCTTTCTCAGGTTCCTAAGTGAATGACTGAAGAGTTAATATTATCCAACCACTGATTTTGTGATTGGAGAGGTTAGGGGAAGGGAAGGCACTATGCTAATATGGGGGAGCAAGATCCCCCAGAGGGTTAAGGACAGCACTACATTGTCATATTATTACCAGCATCCTTAAAATGTGGCCATATTGAATATCCTGGTGATAAATCAGCTGCTAGGTTTGATTGGGGGGAGGGGGGAGAAGAGAGAGGAAGGGAGTAAGTGCATTGCACTTATCATCATGTTTCTTAGAATCACAGGCACATTGGAGGCTGGCATTGTCTACCTGGGAAAAGTGGCCAGTTTAATAGAATTGCATTTCTATTTGATAGACCGGCAGTGTTCTCATTCTTTGTCACTGATTTGTAAGTCAGATATGCGCCTCCAATTTTGCTCTTTCTAAAGCCTGGCTTAGCCCGCATCACCATCGGCTGTGAGCTTGTGAAGAAATTTCACTTCCTTCCCAACAGCTATTTCTGAAACGTGCGATTTTTGGGGAGGGAGGAAAGGGCTTCCTGTTTCCTTGGTGAGAGCAGGTAGAAAGGGAGCCCCTTTGTGTGCTTTTACCCTCTTCTGCGTGTCTTCATCACCACCTCCATGAAAACCGTCCTCCAGACCCAGCCAGCAGCTGTCACACGATCACCCTTTCTCCCCAAGAGGCAAAGCTCAGGTGTTGTGGCCATGGGCACAGGTTGGGAGTTTGCCAATCAGTTTTTACATATGCAGTATCTTTTGGAGAAAATTCGTTTTGCTAAACTAGTTGATAATCATTGTACTGATGGGCAAAAGAGAAGGAAAGGGGAAGAGGAAAGAAAAGAAGAAAAAAGGTAAAGAGGGAGAAATTAAGCCTAGGCTTACACTCGTTTCACTGACCCACAATGTCTTCTCATGTCTAGAGAGTCCCAAGGCCAGCAAAGGGGTTTGTGGGTTCCTTTACCTCTTTTGTGGAAAACTTCATTGCTGATTGAGTCTGTCATGAACTTACTGCTGGCCAGAACACTGTCCACAACTTAAACTGTTATTAAAGGAAAAGAAACCCCTAAGTAGTAGGCAAATCATCACAACTCAGGATTCTGTATCAGCATCTCTTTAGTCCCATCAGTTAGTTCCTGGATCCAGAAATCACACACCTGCTGCCTCCCCTTTCTTGGCTCAGTTGAGGTCTTCTCCCTAACCTTCATGGACATGGGCATGGTACTCCCTGTTTTCTCTGCTCCTTGTGGGTCCAACTGGTTCAAAGTGTTCACCAAAGTTGTGGCCACATATTTCCAGGATACATAAGATGTTCCTAGATTCTTCTCCTGAAGTGCTCATCTCTTTGGCCTGAGATCGTCTTTGTCACTCTTCAAAGAGAGTTTTTCTCTTGCTGTTAGTTGTCTTCTTTTGTGATACTGAACTACACGTCAGGCAGAGAATGGGTTACATGTACAGGGAACCAGGGGAAGGACTTAATGAAAGAAGCTAAATCAATTATATTCAAAATGTAAGGGAAAAGAAAGAGAAAAGAGAGGGGAGGGTTATTTTGTTGTCATTGCTTGGTTGTTTTGTAACAAGTAGAAAAATGAAAGGTTGCAGAAAGGGTTATGAGATGGTGGGTGATTCAAACAGGGTTCCCTAGGAGTTTGTAAAAGATGCAAATTAAAGTTTAGAATTCTTTTTGTATACCTTTAGCTCTTTGGACTGGGTTTTCTTTAAAGCGAGACCCTATAGAGTTGGGGCTGCATGGAGATATAGAGGACGAGTATTTCCATGGAGGTGTGTGTGTGTGTGTGCGTGTGTGTGTGTGTGTGTGTGTGTGTGTGTTTATGAGCTAAATGGATAGATTGTTTAGAGGGTAGATAAATGGATCGTTGGATGGAGGGATGAATAGATGGGTTTATGTACTAAATGGATTGGTAACTGGTCAACTAGATGGTTAAATAGACAAGTTAGTTCTGTTTACATAGCATGGAACAAAAAGGGAAGCTACGTCTCAAGTCAATCTTGCGAGCCAGCTGAAAATAAAATTTTTCAGTACATTATTTATTAAGTTTGGGTTTGGGTTTTTTCCTAAACACAGCGGTCTTTCTGCTTGGGATTTTTGGTCTCAGGCAATCTGTTACTTGCAATATCACTGTATCCCTATAAATTTAGACCTTCAGTAAATCTTCTTTAACCCTTATAGAAAACACACATATATATTGTGTTTTGGTCACAGAATAAAGAACTATAATCCCTGCCTGGAATACTTTGCCATTTAATTGGGGAAAGGTACTCAATTAATAAAAGATTGCCAGTTGCTGTCATTCTGGAGCTGCCTTAATAGCATTGGCTTTTGGTAACAAACAGGATAACTCAGAAAAGCTGTTTGGAAGTGCTGGCTGAAGGCTAAGGAAGCATGTTGGCATGAGGAGGTAGTCCAGGTAGAGGTGAGTCCTGAAGATTAACAGCATAAAAGCCAGAGGGACCAGAATGTGGAGTGCAGCCTGGGGCTGCTGACAGTGGTGAAATCCTGGCTCAGGATGGAGGTCTTACAACTGGTCCAAAAATAGACAAAACCTTAGACCTAGTGAAGAGTGACCTCTCAGAGCCTGAGATTCCTCAAATAAAATTGAAAATAATGCTCCATTATTAGGGCTGTGGGTAGGATTAAAAGAGATAAATCTGTGGCATCGCAATGCTTGACTCACACATCTATTTTCTTCTTTTCTCAAAAAACAAAACAAAAAAACAAGTTAGTGTTTGTCAAGAACATGAGCTTTAGAGCCATGTTTCAATCAAATCTGGTTACCAACTGAGTGATCTTAGGCAAGATATTTTAACCTCTTTTGCCTCAGTTTCCTCATCTGTAATGTAGTGGGTGATAGTAATACTTAACTGCCAGTGTGGTTGTGAGGAATACATAATTTAATGCCTGATAAAAGCCGAGAACAATGTCTGACTATATAATAGTGCTACTTAAGTATTTGTTTGTATTTTGTGATTCCTAAAGAGGTGAACACTTTGTTCTTGGTCACCGGAGTGAGAAGTGGCAAACCCTATATTTGTGGATGAGATTGGGTCATAAATTCCTCTTTATTGAAGCCTATTCTATTTCAGGTATTTAGATTAATATAATCTATTGGTTTAAATTAATATAATTTACTTATAATACTTTGTATAGTGTATATAATTTAGATTAATATAATTTAATGTCAATACCCACAATGACTTTTGTGAATAGATGATTATTACCCTCAACCTTGAGGTGGAGAAACAGATATTTAGTGACTCGCTCAAGGTCATCAGTTAGCAAATGGTAGTACTGGGATGCTAAGGCATAATATGTTTTCACACCTCAAAGCTTTTTAAGTTGGTATTTACCCATGTCATTGATCTAGTTCAACTAATCTAAGAATCAGATTAAGAAATGAAGGCATAGTATTCAAGTTGTAGTCTCTTCAGACTAAAGACTGGAATTCCTCTCTGTTAGTGCAGTGCTCTTTCATAAAGTTTGAATTTTGCTCTGGTTATGTACTGCTGGGGCTGGCTGGAGCTCTTCACGCTGTCTTGGGGCATCTCCACATGGTCTCTTCGCATGCTCTCCCCAGCATAA